GCTCGCTTGAACCCAGCACTACCGCCATTGAGATCAGCACCAAGCAAGAAGCCTAGTAGCGATATCTTGGATGGACTCTTAGAGCTGGTGGTGAATGTCTTCATGGACCAGCTTCTCTCACGGAAAGACTTCCCCGGGTTTGGCTTGTTCACCAAAGTTCCTCCAGGCTTCCGAGAACACCAGGCGTACTTTGAGTCTTATATCTTGAAGCATGTGATTGCTCAATTGACGAATAATGTTCAGCTCAATCAGAAAGCAATCTGCGAGCCCCGTGTACTGACCAACCTCTCACGGTTCTGCACACACATGTCAGAAGCCATCTTTGAGGGATGGTTCATGAACGGCGCTGAGGCAATGATTGACTTTGTTGGTATGCTTCTCGAATTTCTGCAACGTCCAGACATCTCGACCCTCAAAAGTGTCCGACTTTGCAGCCAGGCTGTCGCCACAATCCGAAGCTGTTTGCTAAGGATCATTCTTCTGAGGTTATCGGATCTTGACAACCAAGAGACCACTTTGGTGGAGGCCAAGCAGTTCATGGACAAGATGGTATACTGGCAGATGTCAATTCTCGGTTGCTTTACCAGCGAAGATGAGTTCCTTAAACTCTTCTGGTACCAGCTCTACACGAAACTCATTGGCGACAAGATGCCCCTTCGTATTGCGGCAGCTAACTTCTTACGCATTATCTTGGTGCAGAAGCCAGAGGAGTCTGCTACGTTGATCCGCTCTTGCATGTCGCCTGACCAAAAGCAACTTTCGAAGGACTTCCAGAAGTTGACTGGTGTCGATGATGAGTCATTTGTTGACTGGGTTGATAAGCACCGCCCATCACTAGATGTACTCTTCTTTGGCGGCATGTCCAAAACGTGGGAAGATTTCGTCAGTTCAGAAAATGTGCGTACTTCGGAGACAGCCAAAGTGCGCCTGGCCAAACGCAAAGATAAACTCAAATCATTGCATGCGGAGAGCATCAGTACAGAGAAGATACTCCTCAGCCACGATGTTGGTAATAGCGCATGGATGAAGAGCATCTACAACTCTGAGTACTTCAAGTATCAGCGACTCATGCAGGACCAACAAGATGACCTCGTATTCCTAAGCGCGGCTTACAACAAGATGGAACGGGATCTCATGAGACCTGGTGCGGTGTTCAGTGAGGCAGCTACCCCCAAATGGAAGCTTGATCGTACAGAAGGACGAAATCGAATGAGGCTAAGGGTTCTTCCGGATTTTACGATCAGTAAGGATGAGTATCAGCCGAAGAGAAAGGCGAGCGAGGTGTTGCAGACTCTCCGGATAAATACATCTGCCAGTCCAGCACCTTCGATCCAGGCCTCGGCAGTGACGCCAACGAAGCCAAGCGCTGCGTCAGCTCTGGATGGCAATGGCGAGCCCCCTCAATTCACAGAAGAGCCAGAGTCCACCGAGCCAGCCGAACAACCCAGCTCTGGTGTTGCGCCTGAGGATGACTTTGAGCTTGTGGACGACCCCAATGATCCCAACGAAGGAGACGAAGGCTTCGAAGACAAGAACCGAAAGGTAATGCGACGACTGGAGCGTGGAGACCAAGTCCAATCTGCATACAATATCTCACGCATCATTGGTCTGGAAGCATGCGAGGGAATCCTCATAATAGGCAAGGATGCCCTTTACATCATGGACAACGTGTTCCAGTGTGCCAATGGCGACATTGTCAATGTCTGGCAAGCACCTCCTGAAGAGCGTGATCCTTTCTCCCAGATCGTCACGGATGCCAAGACTTCTGAGAAGCGACAGAATAATAAGGAGCAGGAGTCGAGGCATTGGCGATGGCAGGATGTTATTAGCATCTCAAAACGCCGGTTCTTGTTCCGAGACGTTGCGATTGAGGTGTTCTTCACTGATGGTCGAAGTTACCTGTTGACCACGATCAACCCCGCGGTTCGAGACAATCTATTTGTCAAGATGCTCAACAAGGCACCTCACACTAGCGGCGCAAACACTCTTCCGAACCCTGAAGATGCTTGGCGCTTGGAGTCCCTCAAGGTCTCCGATGAGTCTCCTCAAGGATTTGGGTCCAAGTTTGGCACATTCTTCAACTCATCGCCATGGAACCCTCTCCTCAAGAAATGGCAAAAGGGCGAGATCTCCAACTTTCACTATCTTATGATGGTCAATACCATGGCTGGCAGGACGTTCAATGATCTGACTCAGTACCCAGTCTTTCCGTGGGTTCTGGCTGACTATACAAGCGAAGACTTGGACCTTGATGACCCCAACACCTTCCGCGATCTGTCCAAGCCAATGGGCGCGCAAACACCAAACAGAGTTGGAGGTTTTGTGGAGAGCTACAATGCTCTGGCAGAGATCGGGGAGATTCCTTTCCACTATGGCACACACTACTCTTCTGCTATGATTGTCTCATCATACCTGATCCGTCTACCGCCGTTTGTCCAATCGTACATCCTGCTGCAAGGTGGAAGCTTCGACCACGCCGACCGTCTGTTCCAGTCAATCCCAGAAGCCTGGAAATCAGCCTCTTGCAAGAACAAGGCTGATGTGAGAGAGCTCATTCCCGAATTCTACTGCCTACCAGAATTCCTGACCAACGTCAACGGCTACAACTTTGGCAATCGTGAGAGCAACGGCGTTAAGGTCGACCACGTTGAGCTTCCGCCATGGGCCAAGGGTGACCCGAGGATCTTCATCGCCAAGCACAGAGAAGCGCTTGAAAGTCCGTATGTGAGCGAGAACCTACACCAGTGGATTGATCTGGTCTTTGGTTATAAGCAACGAGGTGAAGCAGCTGTGGAAAACCTCAATGTGTTCCATCATCTTTCGTATCGTGGTGCGACAGATCTGGACAGCATCACGGATGCAAAGGAGAGGGCTATCCTCGCAGGTGTCATTCATAACTTTGGACAGACACCCCATCAAGTGTTTATGAAGTCGCATCCTGCTCGAGAGCATGTTAAAAGTCCCGTTAGACGATTGGACACAAGCGTGTTTTCGTTGGGCTGTCTGCCGCACCCACTCCTTGGTAAGAACTCCGTTTACTTCAAACCTCAGACATCACTAACCGATTCAACAGAAAGCCACGAACGTGTAGCTTCACTCATCCATGCCTCCAAACTCGACCGCTTACTGTGCGCTTCGCCATTCCGCCTCAACTTCCCACCGTACGACAAATTCCTCGAATGGGGATATGCAGACAACAGCATCCGCTTCTTCTTCAGCGACAACCGAAAGGTAATGCAAAACCTTGTTCCTCGATCTGGCCACGTCGCTAACTCAACAAAGCCTGCTGGGCTCTTCGAGAACCTTCACATCGGCCAGATCTCTTGTGCTTGTTTTGCCGACTCCAAAACCTTGATCACTGCTGGAGAGGACTGTGTTGTTTCGGTGTATGCTTTGCAGACTTTACCTGGAAAGCCGGTTGAGTTGCTGCCGAGGTCTAGTCTTTTTGGACACAAGTCGCCAGTCACAACGATTGCAGTCAGCAAGGCTTTCAGTACGCTTTTGACTGTTTCTGCAGATGGACAAGCATTCTTGTGGGATCTGAACAGACTGTCGTTCATTCGAAAGCTGCCATTGGTGCGACCTGTCGAATGTGCACGTATCAACGACATCTCGGGAGAGATTCTTCTCTGCTCTGGACCTAATGTGATACTGTACACTCTCAACGGCACACTACTTCTGGAACAGAACGTCTGTTTCGAACAAGATGACTACATCCACTCATGTGCCTTTTATGAAGGCGCTGGAAATGAGTGGCTTGACAATTACTTGATCTTCACGGGTCACAAGCGCGGCAGAGTCAATGTCTGGCGACGCAGTATCGTGGGCAATCGATGGACGCTCGAGCTCCTGAGAAAGCTTGACCATGTTGACTATAAGAACGACAAGGGTGCCAACACAGAGGCAGGCATAACGTGTATCAGCCCAATGCCAACATGCGTCTACACAGGAGATGATGACGGTCGAGTTGTAAGTATCTCCCACTTATGAAGAATCCTCAGGCTAACGATTCTAGTACGAATGGAATCTACTTAGCAGGGAGAGATAGAGTTTTTCCCTACCGAATCGGACATCAGTTCGATATGACCACCGGCATAGCCTCGTATGATCAAAGAGAGGGAGGATATCTTGTTTTCTTGTCTTCTTGCACATCGCTGCGGCGTTTCCTGTTTGATCTTTATACGCATGTTTAGAAAGTCAACGACTCGCGCACATCCTCACACAACACACACACATATATAGGTATCGAAAGCTTGTAGACAGCCGGCGGATGGATTGATTGTAGAAAAATCGAATTGAAGCGTCAATTGCTGCTGGATCTTCTCGTCCCTTTCTTCCTCTATGATATCCCTTCTCTCCCTCGCAATGGGAAACGCCGTAGTTTGTACAAAGATATGCTCGTCCGAGCCGTGATATTTCCTTCGTCTTTCAATTCGAGATGTTTAATCGTCGTAGCCGGTGAGCTGTTTCCTGGGACCAGAGGGGACTGTGTATGTTAGTCTTGTATTTGAGGTTGACATTGAGGCTGAGGAGAGGAACGCACTGGGATAGGTGACGGGAACGGGAGGAGCGTCAATATCGCCAAAGTAGTGTCGGATCGGAGGAACAATTGGCATGGCGACGGGACCTGCTGCGCCGATGATGACGGACCAGAAGAGGGCGGGACGCTCGCGGGCTGCCCAGCGGCAGTACTTGAGGGGAGTTTGCCAGAAGAGAGGGGCAGCAGACATGATGGCCTATATCAATTAGCATGGTAACTAACAATAGCGTAGCGAGAGAGAGGTCATACTCAATTGACGAGGTGGTGTTTGTCGTTCAATCTTGGTGGTGATGATGGTCTTGAGCAACGGTCCAATCGTATCCTCGGAAAAACCAAGCCCGCGGGTATCGGATTATTTCACTGTAACTTTACTGAGGTGAGGAAGCTTTGAAGTCGCTACCATAAAGGGACTAGCGCATCCGCAGTTTCACATCCCGTCCCCCACTGAAGGCTACGTATCCCTAAAACGCCAACGCAAGCTACCACGCCCGTAGGTTCCACTGAGAGCTCTACTCGCAAGCTGTCCAAACTTGCACCAAACATATAATCCCCAACTCAAACCACAGTCTCACCACACAATGCGGTCCCTTTTGAGTCTCGTGGTCTTTCTCTTCGCGGCGCTGGTTTCGGCCGTGAGCACAACTGGTAATCGATTACTGGTTATTCTCGATACTCCCAAGGACAAGGAGGCGTATACTACGTTTTTCCGCGACTTGTCTGGTATGAATCCCCACGAGTAGTGGTGTTGATGGTGAAGCTTACAATTGGTAGAACGGGGTTATGATATCACGTATGAGACACCAAAGAGCGATGATTTGACATTGTTCAAGTATGGTGAGAGGAGTTATGATCATCTTGTCTTCCTCCCCACCAAGATCAAGGGTTCGTCATGTCTTGTTTCTTGACAATACAGCTGTAACTGACTTGCGCAGGTCTGGGACCCAATCTGACCCCCAATGCCATCGTCGACTTCATCAACGCCGGCGGAAACATCCTCCTGACAATGTCCGCTACTCACAAAGTCCCCGTTACTCTCGTCTCCGTCCTCGACCAACTCGACATTACCATTCCTGCTGAGCGCAACGGCAAGGTCGTCGACCACTTCACCTACGATGCCGTCTCCGCCGCTGAGACACACGATACCCTTGTTCTCGACGCCCCCCGCAACGTTCGTCCCGGGCTGAAGGATTACTTCGAGATTCCTGGCGCATTCATCTCCGTTCCCCACGCCATCGGCCACACTCTTGGTTCAGGACCTCTTCTTACACCCGTTCTTCGAGCGCCCCCTACCGCTTATAGCTACAACCCCAAGGAGCAGACTGACACCGTTGAGCCTGATGAGTTGTTCGCTGCTGGAAAGCAACTTGCTCTTGTCTCTGTCTTTCAGGCCCGCAACTCTGCGCGTGTCACTGTCGTTGGTTCTGCTGAGATGCTTCAGGACAAGGCTTTTGACACCAAGGTTACTCGACAGGGTGGAAAGGCTATCTTCCCTGCTAACAAGGAGTTTGTCACCAACTTGGCTGGCTGGACGTTCCAGGAGCTTGGTGTTTTGCGAGTGAACAAGATTGAGCACCACCTCAAGGGCGACAATGAGACCAACCCCGAGCTGTACCGCATCAAGAACGATGTTGTATGTAGAGACATCCGCTGACGGTGTTGACTTTGCTAACAATTTACAGACTTACAGCATCTCCGTCTCCGAGTACGCGTGGAACGACTGGCAACCCTTCCACCTCCCAGACGGCGACCACCTCCAGCTCGAGTTCTCCATGCTGTCCCCCTTCCACCGTATCTCCCTGAAACCCGTTCACGTCGGTGAGCACGAGACTGTCTACGGCACCGACTTTGTTCTTCCCGACCAGCACGGCATCTTCAATTTCATGGTCAACTACAAGCGCCCTTTCCTGACCAACCTTGAGGAGAAGCGAACTGTCAGTGTTCGACACATGGCTCACGACGAGTACCCCCGAAGTTACGTGATCAACGGCGCTTGGCCCGGCTTGGCTGGCATCTCAGCTACTGTTGTTGGATTCCTGTCGTTCTGCATCGTGTGGATGTACAGCCAGCCTGTGAAATCAACCACTGGCGCTAAGAAGACACAATAGAGGAGGAGCAATGTACGAGTATTTTTTGCTGCAACGTCACGATAAGAATTCGTGGATCTGTTGTATTGTAGAGTGGGACCAAAAGTGAAATATAGAATGCGCATTTGTTTTCCTACAGCTATTGAAGTGTTTACGACTATCTTTGTGACTTGAGATACGAAGATGTGATGGGTCCCTCAGATTAGCTCTCTTGGGTTCTCACTGACAACTCGCGGCAGTGGACAAGTAAATGCCCTGCAAACATCCTAGATGATGCCCGCCGCTGTTGCCTGCAAATTTGGCTTTTTGGTCGATTGATCATCACCGGGCAACAAATTCGTATCTCAAAGCATTCCTCCATCCCAAACGGCTCCTCACGAAGGCCAAGCCTGCTCCGATTGAAAACTATATCATGCGAATCACGAGTGTCTCTGTGCTCCCAGCAAACACCCCATGAGAGGGTTCGCAAAGGAAGAGAACAACTTCACGCAAAGGGAAATTATCGTCACTGCGGCTACTCTAGGCACTTGCGAAGAATACAAGAATGAAATGAAAAGGAAATACTTCAAGGTCTGCTCAGATCTCTGTTCTCAGGTGTGGTACATGTTCGCAACACAAGTCAGTTTCCCCGAAGGGCATACCAAGCAAGTGAAGTGAATCGCCAACTTTGGTGTGTGAAACAGTTGTCATCACCGCAGATCAGCCCCAGAGGAAACCAAGTACAGGACGAGAGGAAATGCAAAAACGCCGAACGCCTTGAACTCCAACGCCCGCAAGAAAAACAACCAAAAAGACACCCCAAGAAAGAACCTTCCCAGGACAAATGTCCAGGGACCAAAAAACAAGAAGAAAAGCAAAGACAAAGGAAATAAAAGCAAACCCCAAAAATACCCTGACCTGGTCGAATGACCACAAAAAACCGCGAAACCAAGAAGCTAAAAAACAAAGCGGAAATGCAAGTTAGTACATACATACCTTAGTCACTTGACTGGGGGAGGCGGGCGAGAGTGAGGGCGAGTTCGGGATCGGGGAGGAGGGAGGTGAGGTGAAGGCATGGTGGTGAAGGTCGGGCAAGGTCGAAGGGTCGGAAAGGTGAAGTGCGAAAAAGAAAAAGACAAAAGAAAAGTCACGATGTGAAAAGGCAGAAGCTGTCGAGTCAAGCAGTTAGTGCCGAAAGCAAGAAGTGTGTAGCAAGGCAAACCAAATCGCAAGTCGAGAATGCGAAAGGTTGATGAAGAAGAAGAAGAGAAGAAAAAGCCAGAGGAACCGGGGGAGAAGCCCTCTATTTATGCTTTTCCAGAGCGAGGAGTGATTGCGCATTTGGTGAGCGAAGGTTTACGCTGAAATCGAGCGTTGGGTGTGGTGTTGACGACCGTTGACAGCTGCTGGCAGCTGTCAAGATATCCAAAATCGTTGGTGAGGTTCAAGTCGCGCTGCGCTGCGCGTTGGAGTAAGGCAAGGCTGTGGGGACGTGCGCAAGCTTGACCTGTGGCGCTGTGGCACAAGTGGGGATCATGCGGGGATTTGCAGCAAGGCTGGTGTGGCTGGGAAAACTTCCGCCGTTGCTGGGGCGCGATGAGCAACTCAGCTTCTACAATTACGGTGCTATTCTCACCTCAATCACTTTGACGCCGCGCATCTGTCAAAATGGTAAGTCTCTACCTTGTTTTTGTCGTTAGTGACTCCGACTGACAATCTCAGGCACGTAATTCGGAAAAAGCCCAGTCTATGCTGTTTCGCTTCCGCGAAGCCCAAGCAGCAGACCTAGGCATCATCGACGCCGGCCGTACACGTCGACCCAAGCTCATCACCGAAGTCTCAGCCATTCCCGCCTGTGAAAAATGGCGCGGTCAAGTCCTCAAAGAGATCTCGCGCAAAATGTCACGTATCCAAGATCCTATCCTCAGCGACTACCAAATCCGCGATCTCAACGACGAAATCAACAAGCTCATGCGTGAAAAACACATGTGGGAGATTCAGATACGTAATCTCGGGGGACCGAACTACATGCGCGGCGGAGGAAAGATCTACGATGAACAAGGACGTGAAATACCCGGTAGTGGGAAAGGCTACAAATACTTTGGCAGAGCGAGAGAACTTCCTGGTGTGAAGGAGCTGTTTGAGGCAGCGAAGACCCAGGGTGATGAGAAACCGCTTGAGGAGAGGCATGACATGAGGAGGAATGTGGACGCGGCGTATTATGGGTATGCGCCTGATGAGGAGGATGAGGAGATGTTGGCGTACGAGGCTGAGAAGGAGAGGCAGGCGGTTGAGCATTTGCTTAAGACGGGGAGTAAGGATGTGCCGGAGGGATGGGAGCCGCTGCCGGGGGATAGTGGTGATGGGATTACGTGGGATTTACCAACGTTGGAGGAGGTGCAGGAGGAGTTGATCGATCGGAGGAGAAGGAGGCTTTTGGAGCAGTTGTGATGTGCTTCAGGGTGTTCTCCGTGTGTCATCGGGGAGGTTTATGGGGATGGAGATTGAAGTGTATTGTTGGATCAGTTGAGGCTAGGTGATGGTCACATTCATGGCGTTTAGGACGGTCGCTTATTTACAGGCGTATGGGTTTATGATGATACTTGTCAAAAGAATATCTTCTCAATCGTGCACTCTCCCTCCTAAGCGACATCACCAAACCCAACTGAAGCTATGCCCTGAAGCTGTGGATAACGGTTATACCGAGCTGTCAGTATAGCTGTCACCCGGATATCACAGATTCCGGGTATAACACGGACGAACTATACATCCACCAACCAAACAAAACAGCTTAACTAAGTTACAGCATTGCAATGCATGAACCATCAAGGGTATGTTAAACCCGTCAACATTACCTGTTTCGTTTCATACACCGATGAACTCTAATAATATGTCATCCACAATTCAAGCGAAATACAATTCACATTTTGAAGGGAAAAAGGATTTTGTCAAGAGTGACGATCTTCATTGGTGCCCCCTGAGACCCCTGTTGTGAAAAGAGACCCCTGAGGTTCCTGAAGCTGACGGTGAAGCGCCACGCAGGTGAGAGTGCAGATGACGACTTCAGATCCTTCTTGTCCAGGGGCATCTGGGGTGACGAAGGTGATGAGGATGGCAGTGGATGGTTATCTGGCTAAAAATTGGCATTCCAAGTTTATCTGAATTATTCAATGAAGCGAAATCTTTAAATTGATCCATAGAGTTCCCATTGCATGGATGAGATGGGGGTGTGTGACGCTGTTTCATTTCGTACCCAGTGATCGACAGCCCAGTCTTGTCTCTCCTCGCCTTGTCTCTTGTCTCGGGAATCTTTACGTCTCGTATCTCACTCGCAAGACGCAAGACTCTTTGCACAGTCGTACCACTCCTTTCAGCCTTGCCTGTGCCTCTCGTGTAACATCGACGATCAAAAAAGAAGATCAATCCTCTGTGCAGCACAATACTTGTTGATCAAACCTCTTGTCCTATTCTTGGCCCTCCCCTTTTCTTGTCCACTCACAAAACGAAAAAGTGACCCCGCGGCTGAACGGCGCCAAAAAAGCCCAGAGAAGAAAAAAACGTCGAGCCCCTGAGCTTGTACCTGCAGCGCCCTGACTAGCACCCTACCCGTCTAAATCCTCAGTGCATCCACTCTAATGATGAAAAGAGTAACGCTACGCCCCTTTTACGATTCAATCACCTGCATAGGATTGATCAAGCTTAACGATATTCACTTGAATTCTTTTTACTTTCATTCTTTGCAGTTTGTCAAGTTACACAGTTTATTCAAAGAAGTGTCTAAAACTGGATGTTCTTGAGTTGGTGGTCTTGTTAAATTAATCCACTCTGGTCCCTTTGCGCCTCGTGCGCCCCTGGCCTTTTAGCACTTTACCCCCCTAGGCTGTAGGCTGTGGGGACCCTTTAGGTACTTTACGGTAAGTGCTGCAGCCCAGGCTTCTTCTTCCCGTTCTTCTCGGCAACGGTCTTGTCTTCTAGAAATATGCACAGAAGAGACAGACCAGGCCAATGTCTCTGTCTCTGACTCTGTCTTTACATCATCGCCATTCCTAACTACGTTCAATTCAGTCATTACCGTCACATGCTCATGATATAATTCTTTCAGATATAATTCTTTCTCTTCTCTTTCGAGATGGTTTCGTTCTTTGGCCTCAAGCTTGGAGGCGATAGGAAAAAGTCACAGTAGGCCTCCTTTCCGCTCTACGTTTTACAATTTTGCTCATGTTTGGCAGGGACAAGAAGCTAGCTTCGAAACAAATACAGCATTTACATCGCAATGAAGAATCTGTCTCAACGACCCCAAAAGACCTCCACCGACAGAGTAACTTCTCCCGCCCAAATCTCGCTCGCCCCGGTACTTCCAGCTCTCATCTCGACCCACCAACACAATGGAAAGCCCCTTATATGAACGGCGCAGGAGGTGCTTCCTCCATGGTAGACCTCGGAGCACCGCGCGCACCAGGAATGGGAAATCCGCGGTTTCACTCGTCAGATATAATGCTCAACACACGGTTTGGCAATGGTAGTTCTACGAGCCTCGTTGCGCCGGGCGCAAGACCTGGTTCACCTACACGTCCTGGGACGGCTATTTCGACAAAGGAGCCTGAGAATCCCTTCAACATTCACTTCGGTAAAGATTCTGTCAGTAGTATACCGCCTACGCCCCAGGATGAACCAAGGGGTCATGCGGAACCTTTCGAATTCAATCTCGGAAACGAGATTAAGGAAATCAGAAACAAAAGTCCTATTCCTACGGCTAACAATGGATATCCATCTCCTCCACCCTCGATTGTCAACGCTGAGCGATCTTTCTCACCGGACCCGCGCCCTTCGAGCAGTCGTCAGAACGTGCCGACTGCACCTAGCCTTCGGAACCCCAGTACTGCAGGTCCAATGTCTCTTCCCAGCCCAGCTGTGTCTGTTGCTAGAAGCGACGATGTCTGGGAGCCTCAGCCTCCTGTTATTCGCAATGTGACAGCCAAGCGCGACACTTTTACCTTTCATACGCCTAGACGGCAGAGTTTTGCTATGGAGATGGAGTCGCGTGAGAATCACAAGCCAATGACTGAAGGACTTGCTGGAAACTTTGCCGGGTTCGACTTTGGTGAGACTGTCAGGAAGGGCAGTATCGGGAGTAAGAGCTTGGATACTTCGACTGAGGGTGGTGTGAGCCCTACGGATACGAATGTGAAGCCCAGGGTGCTGGGAACGACGAGAACTGCTAGCCCTTTGAGGACCATGCAGTCGAGTCCGAGTTTGAGCATGATTGATACGGCATTGACGCGAGCTCGAACTGCGAGTGATGCCATGTCTCCTTTGTCGTTGGTATCGTCATTGGCATCCG